GTTTTCAAAGAAGCCTCTGGTGTTAAGTGCTTTGGTATTTGGTTGGCCATTTCAGTTGTTCTGGGCCTGATTTGCAAAGCCGCTGATCAGCCGCAGCTGTCCAATGTCAGCCCCTCTGAAAATCGGGTGCATTTTGAGCACGGGCACCCAAATTCGGGGTCATTGTGACTTGCCTGTAGTGAGACAGAGCTCTGAAATTGCTTCCAATTCCTATCTTCTCTCACCGGTTTCTGTCCTGGTGAACCTCAGGTTCATTTATTGATTTGAATTGTCCTGTAACAAAACCAGACCGATGCAGAAGTCAAGCACCAAGGCCACTTGGGCCAGAAAACCAAAAATCAACTATCCAAATTGACATGAGGCCAGAGGGGCAGATTATTCAGAAAACATATCTCTCTCTAAGAAGGCTTCACCTTCATCCCCTCTGCTAAGAGTAAATTAGTGATAGATCTCACTTGGTAGGAGGCTTAAGCTAGTGCTTCTTGAAGTGGGAAACCAGAGATGAGTTTCACGCTGAGCGAGGAGCCTCTGGAAGCAGAAGAGCTGGCTTAGGTGCATGTGGCTGCTTTTGGAGGGTGAAGCGTGAGTTTGTTCTTAGGTGGCAAAATCACTTTGAGGGCGTTGGGTGCTGAGAGCAAGACAGCAGGAAACAACCAAATTGTCGTGGCAAGGTCAGATCTTGGGTCAGCAGGGGAGACCTCCAGCCTAGCCCTGGGTTTTTGGGGGGCGGGGAGCCTTTCTGCTTCAGGACTTTTAGGCTAGGTACAGACATTACACTTTTACCAGTATAAGTGATCAGAAACCGGTCTATACCTGTAACCAAACAGAAGTTTGGCACATGTGGACTGGTTTAAAAATGGCAAAACCCAGGCTAAGATTTGCTCCCACCACCACCACCAAAGGGTGAATGTGTCTTCTGTTCGCTACTGATCTAAATTATGCTGCTAACAAAAAACAGCGTACCTTAAATCAGTTCTGTCCTGGGTTTTTGAATGTCTGTGCCTCGCCTTCAGCTGCCAGGATCCCAGCTGGGTCTTGACACTGAACTGAAATAGAAAATCCAAGCAGGCTGGAAAACAGCCAGGGTCTAAAATTCCCCCTATCATCCGGAGTCACCCTTGTGCATGAGGAAATCACCTCTGGGTTAAATAAAACAGTTGAAACATATGGGACCTTTTGGCCTTTCTGAGCACCTGGTGTGGGTGTGGGTTGTGGAGGGCCCAGAAAAACCTGTGCATTTCTGCTCTTTGGGGACAGGAGAGCCATGCCAATCTCACATTCAGGTTGTGCATGAGAGAGGGTACTGCAGGGGAACCATTTCACATGCAAGTTTGCATGAAGGTACTGCAGAGCTGAGATCCTGAACTGCAGGCAGGACCGCACTCTGTTCAGGGACAGAAGTACAACCCAACTGTCTAAAAATAAAGCAGTTCACCAGCTGCAAAGGCCACCTGCCTAGGATAAAAATCAAGCCAGCTACCAACAGCAGCAGGTTAAATGAACAAGGGTCACAAACAGCAGGAATGGCTCCAAAAGCAAATGGACTGAGGATTTTCTTAAATTCCAGTTTACATGGGGGAAAGAAAGCCGGGGGTTAAGAATAAGGGAAGGTATTCCTACCATCCCTTCCTTCTTTCCACCCCTTCCCCCTACAATTTTTTTTTTCATTTTCTTTCCCCTCTTGTGGAGCTTGTGAACCTTGTTGGGTAGGAGCCTGGCTCGCCATGTGTCTAAGCCATGCAGAATACTTTTGGGTGCTATGAAACCCTACTACAAGGCAGTTAACTAAAGGCCCTCATCCAAAGCCAGTAGGAATTTGGGTGACTTCAGTGGATCTTAGATCTAGCCGTAATAGCACCTAGGGGATTATTTCTCTTGTCAGTGAGAAATTACTATGTGCCTGGCTCTGGGCCCAGCTGTGAAGCATCAGTGCAAATCTGAAAAGCTCAATGGCACAGACTCCAGCACCTACTCACAAGTGGAGCATGCCCCCAGGGGCCCCAGAGTTTGGATACTGGTTGCTAGCACATGCTTGACCCCATGCCACTGTGTCTTCACTGCTATTTGTTAATGGTGCTAGCCAGGTTAAGCTAGAGGCATGCTAGTGTATGTTATAATCACTCCTTCCTTTCACAGTAGAGCTACCTTGTGAAGTACCACAAGGTGGTGAGATCTGGTGTTTTGATTTGAGCTCACCCATGATCCGTGTAACACATACTTTTTCACCTATATGATGAGCCCAGGCTGGTGTCAATGGTTTAAGCTAATACCATGAAGCCATGCAAGGCACCTCTCGGCAGCAGGGGCATGTGCTTTAATAGCAAACTGACTCTCAGTTGCCTCCTGCTTGTAAAACTCTGCTGAGAAGTAAAGGTAAAAAGAGTTGCCTCTAGAGCATTTCCAATTGCAGGGCGTGCCAGCAAGTCGAATGTTCCTCCTGCACTACCTGTGCACCATCTCCCGTAGAAAGGAGGGAGACTTGGGAAGAGAGTGTGCTGTCTCTTGGAGGTCCGGGGGTGGGGGTGGGGGTTATTCCAGGGGTTTCAAACATTCTTTGACTGATGCTGCATTTCCTGTGTGGGGCAGCACTCAACGAGGAGCCCATAACCAGCATGAATAATTCCATACTGAGCCACTTCAGGTGTGTGGTCCCATAGCAAAAGGATGGAGACTCCCAAGTGTGGCAGATGTCAGTAATGTGTACCATCAGCTCAGGCATTTCTCCTAATTCTCTCTCTCTCTCTCTCTCTCGTTCTAGTACCCCCTCAGATCATAAACATCTCATCAGACATCACCGTGAACGAAGGCAGCAGTGTAACCCTCATGTGCTTGGCCTTTGGGAGACCAGAGCCTACCGTGACATGGAGACACCTGTCCAAAAAAGGTAGGAGAAGGGGAGATGGGGGGCATCTGGGCTGACTCTGAATAGAGACGCTGAAATGCACTAGGGGTTACCAAGAGGGATTGCTCATGGCATCTTCCTTTGCGTTTCCGTATGTGCTGTGTTGCCTTTAATCCTTCACTGGTAGTTTTTCATGTGGTTTTATTGATGGAGCCTTGGCTAATTCCACAAAGAAGCTGGAATCGGGACCCCCCTGGGTATATTTATGGCTCTACCACCAAGTCTCTGCATTGCCTTGGGCAAGTTACTTCATCCTTCTCTGCCTCTGTTTCCCCAACCATAAAGTGTAGGTCATAGTACTTACCTACCTTGGAGGGATGCTAACATTTGTAGGAATGACTGATGTGTCTGGGTCAACTGTGCTAAATAAACAGAAGTGCTTGCAAGTATACTGCGGAAGCAAAATCAAGTAATAGGTGGATGCTGTTCCCAGGGCAAATAGTTGGATGCTATTCCTGTTCCAAGGAAGAGGGGGTGGTACCTATAATGTGCAGAAGTAAAGACCTGTTGTTTATATTAATAATGCCTTCTCTGCCTATCTCCTCCGCCTCCCCAAAAAAGCACCCCAACAGTTTATGAACATTAAGAGCTGAATGCTCTCAATCTATGGACATTAATAGCTGAATGCTTTCAATCTATGGACATTAATAGCTGAATGCTCTCAATCTACTGGTGTCCTTATTTCTCAATTTACAGTGGGGAAAAAGGTTCAGCCCCAGAGAGGTAAAGTGGCTCACTTAAAGGTGTATGTTGAATTTGTGGCAAACCTGAGGAAGTGTTAGAAGTCCCAATTCCCAGGTTTTTTTGCTCTCACCACTAGACTTGCTCTTTTCTTCAAGTTCTGACTTTTCATAGGCTGTCCCAGGAACGCTGTGGAGTGTGTGTTACTATTACAATATAGGAAACACTTCCCGGACATCTCAAATGCTTATACCAGGTATGACATATATCTGTGGTGGCAATTCATGCAGTAGGACCCTAGTCTTGCTCCATAAATCACCACTGCCTGACTGCCTCTCCAGGCACCTGGACACCCAGTATTTCCTCTGCTACACCTCAGTGGGATACATTAATATAGACCCTCAGTCCAGGTTATAGGGCAGTCCCTCTAAATGGTACCACTTCTCACATCAGAGGGGTCCTAGTCCACTCTCCTAAAGAGCCGTTGTCTCTGGCCAGCAGTGCAAGCAGCCAACCCTTCCCCAGTCAAGATGCCTAGCATTGGATAACTCCCATTCCCTATTCCCCTTACAGCCACCCTATGCCTCTCAGCTTTTAACAGCTTAAGTCATTTGTGGCTCCCAAAATCTGCCAACACTCTCAAACCTTCAACCATCTCAAGTGAGGTAGTCCACGTCCACAGGACTGCTATTCTCAGCATTCATCCCACCCAGTGCAGCCCTCTAATAGCCCTTGTACCCCATCCAGTCCCACTCCAGGCTTAGGTCCTGACTCCTTACTCCAGCTACCCCAAGGACAGATGACTAACTCATCCTGCTTATATACCCAGGAGAAGGCCTGGGGCCAGATCCATGCCTGCAGCCTTAAAGGCATGAGCACCCTTCCTTTCCCCTTCTCTGTAATGGGGCCACAGGCCTCCTGTTACAGTGTGCGCGCACACAGATACATGCATGTTCTGTTTCCTGCTGTCAGTGAGCAGGGAGTTAAATGATCAGGGATGAACAGCATGCCATGTTGCTTTCCTATCTTCGACATGGCCTGGCAGCTGCATCCACTTTAATATGAAGCAGTAAGCATAATTTTTTAACTACACTTCACATCACTAGCCCCAGTGTATCTGAGCACAGCGGGAAACCTGGATAAAAGGACATTGTCACTGTTGTGCTCATGCAAGTAAAGGACTAATAGCTCTGGTTGGAGGTGATGAATAGACTGCACGGGAGCTGTGCAATCCACACCCACGCAGTGCGGCAACAGGCTCTAAAACCATCCTATCCTGCAGCTCAGCCCCTGGGGTCCAACGCCCCATTTGGCTCTGCAGATGCATCTCATTTCTCTACCTGATGCGTAGTTCTCATCGGTTACGCCAGCTGTGGAATGGCGCCTGTCATGGGTAATGATTGATGTGGAGGCTGTGTCGGGTGTGCAGAGCAGTATTAAACTCTGCGTGCTTGTTGTCTGTTCACATCCCAGTTCTTCCCAGGCAAGGCATAAATAAGACTTTTGCTAGGACTCGGCACACCTGGGTCCAATTTTAGGCTGGGCCATAGATTTTTCCGTGTGACTTTGGGCATGTCAGTGCCTCTGCATCTCACTTCTCCATCTATAAACTGGAGTACTAATATCTCTATCCCACAACCTTTGGCCTGTCTCTCTGGATAAGAGTCTGTCTGGATAAGAGTGCAGGGACTCTCCCACAATGCATCAATGCAGTACCTCGCACAAGGAAGCTGTCAGCTTGGTGACCCCTGTTAGGTGCTACTGTAATGCAAATCATCATCACAGTCTCCGGGGCTTGCTCTGATCTTGTGACAGCAGAACAGGGTTTCTGAATGTAAATGCTCATCTCCCCATGGGAGAGTTTAGTTCAGGGGTTAATTGATCTGAACCGTCCCTCTTTCTTGTATCAAAGTCATTTTCCTGCCCTGATCCAGGTAGATATCTGAGGCCTTTGATGTCAGGAATGCCTTTGATATCCCATTTGGAGGTGGACATCCAGTACACAGGGCTGGGACATTCTGTGAATGGAAACATGGTCTTGCTTTCAAACAAAGATCATGACCCAGAGCAAAGAAACCCTGGGGGCCTGACTCTGCCACCTCTGTAGTGGAAAGTGGGTGAACTTAACAAAGGCTGAGACACAGTTCGGATGATGTATATACTTGCTCTGGCACCAGCAAGTCAGTAATGGAGGCTGGGCAGGCCTCGTGCTTCTGTCTGAAGCACATCACCTCTGGGGTCAGGAAAAGACTTCTTTCTGCACATCCTTGGCATGGCATAATTGGCGAGGCGTTTGTGTAATGGGGTGAAGTGACTCCTTGCCTTAAGACATCAGGGACTGGCTATGGCTTGCAGTTGTCTGCTGAAGGAGACAGGCCAGTAATGTGGCCTGATTCATTGACTCCTAGCTGTACCTTTTACTGGTTTATTTTTACAGCTTGCTGTCTTTGCACAGGAACACAGCACACTCTTGGAGGAGGGAGGTGGAAGGTAAATAAGTCCCTGGAAGTTCATTTGCACGTACGAGTCTACCTGTGTCAAGGGGTAGGGCAGCCGGCTGGCCAAATTGCTACCAACTGGCCCACGCTACCTGAGTTAGACACGTTCCACTTAGACCACACTGAATTATGGGCAATGTTAAACGGCATTCAAGTTAAACCATGCTGTGGGCAGTGGCACCTTAAGGGTTAATACCGTTTCTTACCTAGACGGCTCTGATTTGCCAGCAGGGGCACGGCTAGGAGCCCGAGCACCTGGGCTCTACCCCTGCTCTGCAACGGCAGGGCTGGGAGTGATGCATCCTGGGATGTTGGAGGACTGCAAATTGCTTGTTTTATCTTCATGGAGTGGATTGAAGTTAACCCTAAGACAAGCTAGGTAGAAAGGCCCAGAGTTAACCCTTGCTTGTAGTGGCATAACTTTTAGCCTGGTTGCCAGTGGCTACACCTACTCCCACCTAGTCCCAGTTGCCTTTCAGTGCTCAGCAGGCTACTCAGCAGGATAGATACCCCCCTGCCTGCTCCTGGTTACCTGTGCCCTGGGTCTCGTTTCCTAAATTCATTCCTCTTCCGGACCTTTATCCTCTGACAGCCAGCTCCTGACCTAGATATGCAGTTGTCCAATCCATGTCCTGACCCTGTACAGCTATAGCCTGCTCCAGACCTGGCCTGGGTCCCTGCTCTCTGTTCCTGCTCCCCCTCCCCACCCTCCCACCTTGGCCTGTGTTTCTACCCAGGGTGACCGCCCACCTCCTAATTGTGGTCCTAACAGTTTGGCCAGTTCTCTCCATTCTGTCTCTTTGAAAACCAGTGATAGTGAAATGCTATATGTGGTTCAGAGAAGTCCTTGAGATAACAGGTTACATCCGGGGCTTGTGCGTATGCATTGGCCCAACTCCTTCTTTATGGATTCAAGGAGGAGAGCCTGGCCCAGTGTCTGTTGAGTTTCTTTAGCTGTATAAGAAGGTGAGTTCTCATAAAAGATGCTGGATTGATGGCCCTGGAGACTGAAGTAGCTCTCACTGAGTGAATTGTGTGTGGCCAGCGTGAATATGTCCTGTTCTTGTTGTACGTTGTTCACACCACAGACCCACCTACCCTGACCGGTCCCCTCCTTGGCATTTTTAGCAGTGTGGTCTTTCAGCAATAGGACCTGAAGGCTCATCTCTTGTGTCCCTGGGGAGGGTCCTTGCATGAATGCCTGGTTTACCTGGAGAGTCGCTGGGACACAGATCCCCACCACACCTTGGCCCTCCTGTGACAGCACTCTCTCTGGGGGTGAGGAGATCAGTCTCCATGTCCTGTATTGTCACCATGATACTGCCAAGGCTGCCAGCAGTGGATCAGTTAGCAGCCGTGGGTTTTGTGACAGGGATATTTGTTCACTGAGAAGAGGACCAACTCACGCAGGCCACCAGACATTTACCAGTGGTAGCTACTAAAGCCAGTCAGATGCTAGCTGGTCCCTGGGAGGAGACAGCCTCTGCTGTCAGTGAGCCATGGGGCCAGTTTCCCTGGCATTACTGTGTTCTCAGTGTTTAGTGCAGAGCTCTGAAACATATATACAGCTAAAACACCTGATTTGCTCTGTGTACCAAGCCCTGGATGCTAGTTAGGGGATCTGCCAAAGACCCTCCTTGCAAGGAGGCTAGAGCACTGACAGCCATATGTCCGCCAACTGCTGGTACCCTGTGCCAGTAGGAGTGTAGCACTTGCTGGTGCTCATTCGCTTCCAGCTCTCCTGCAGTCTCCTCACCCAGTGCAGTCATCTCTGTTGTGCCTTGTGGCAGCCCTGCCCCTGCC